ATAAACTCAGTTGGTTAGAGGATGGTGCTCTTAACACCAAGTATCAGGGTTCGATCCCTGTACTTGCCAGATACGAAAAAAAAAGAAGAGCATAAAGTTTGTTTCAGAAAACATGGCCTATCCCATCCTCATCACCAAAAAAACTACAAAAAAAGAATACATGGCCCAGCCAGATAAAAAGTAACCAGACAAAAACTAGACTCATCCGTTTCTTCAGAACATTCTGTGGCACTGCCCTCTGACCAAAGCTTTCAGCTCGCCCTGTTCTTAGAATCTGACTAGATTACAATGGCTCCACTTTCTGATATTCTATGGCTGCTCCAATGCCCAGATCTATAGGATTGAATATCTAGAACACTATACTTAATTACAAAATCACAGAAAGTCCATCAGAGTCAGCCTAAAGTCCTAATAAATCTTTACCCCGAATCTGGTCCCCCTGCACAGGTCAAGATGGAGCTGACAGTGAACAGATCAAACAAGAAGCCATGATTCGGATAAGGCGAACCATTAAATAGCAGCCGAAGGACACAGAAGAACAGAGAACTGCTTACTTCGGGAATAAGAGCTATCTGTGATCCCTCAGGCACCTCATTCACATTTCTACTCTAGGACTTACCACAGTGTGATTTATTCACGTTTGTCTGTTTTGCTTTCCAGAGCTGGAATTTCTCAATGTGCCTCTAAAGCACTGCAGGTCAGCTAGAGATACTGAGCCCATTAGCCACTGGATAGATGGGCAGGACTTTGGGTGGCTAGAGCCCTTGGGCCATTCATCTCAGGTATCAAGCAGCTGTGTCTGTCTCACTATTACCATTTTCTGTGTATGCCAGAGCAGGGAAAAGGTTGGGAAGTACTTCATTATACTTTGAGCCCTTTGCCAGCATGACTATGCTGTATCTAGTGACATGCTTGTTGTTGAGAACAGTTCTACTGAGGGTGGTAAAACATTTGTGGGGATGAGGGAGACAGAATTCTACAGCTGGTCCCCAGATCTTTTTCCAGTATCTGACAAATATGGATAAGTGATTTCCATGTTCTCAGAGCCCTAGGTACCTTCCATGGTATTCAGAGGCTTCCTGGGGTGGGAGGAGGGCAAATGAGGGGCTCTAATTATGCTCCCCCACTCTCCACCACTACCAGAGCAGCTCCACATTTACCCATTTCATGTATTAAACTTCAAATAAGATCTTATTTAAGGTAAGGTTTGACTGCTTTTTTTAAAAAAAGACAACACCATTGCAACAGAGCAAATGCTCTCCTGCATTCTAAATTCATGAAGTTTAAACATTGATGCTTGACACCTTTGCGCATACGCTAATAAAGGAAGAGTTATGTCAGACTCTCACCAGCAACAGGAGAACTAAAAGTACACGAGACCTGCTACACCCAACTGTCTCATCTTTCTTCAGGAATACGGTGTAGATTCCTGAAATCTTGAGCCACTTCCTTTCTGGTCTATATGGTGTGGCAGATCCTTAGCAGAAGTCCATGAGAAAGCTCTAACACATTCGGGGAATCCCTAACTCGGTCAGTTCTTTCCCAGACTATGAAGCCTTCAAACATTTCTGGGACTCCTTCCAAATTCTCCCCATGTATTTTCATTATCAGAAAGCTTTATTAGCACTGTACCTGTATTTGTGACAGATGCTGGAGTGGAGAAGGCAGACAAAAATTATACAGATACCACAATCTCTGGACCTTAATAAAGTACAGTGAAAAAGATACTCAGAGGCAGACATTTAAAAAAGATGTGACTAAATGAAAAGAGTGGCCCAGGAAATGGAGGATGCTGAAAATACTGATTAAGACCTAAAATAATAGGACCCAGGAATCTAAATTCCTGACCTATGCCAATCAGGATGCTCTTCGAAGGATGAGTCAACCGTTACCTCAGAGTCACATTGACTTTTCTAACATGAACACTATCTTGAGCCCCCACATCCTCACCCTACATCCAAATTGATGGTTCAGGGCCCCTGCCTTGCTCCAGCTTTACCTCCCACTCAGGCAGCAGGAGCTGCCTCTGTGAGGCTGATGCTGAAAAGAGATTTCACTGCTCATAAGCCTACCACCATCATAGAAAGTCATGACAACAATCATCCCTCTACACAGGCACCTCAGGTGGCAAGTTGTTCTTTTATAAACCTCTCCTTTAAGGCAGCTCTAGTGTTCATATTATTATTACTATTATGATGATGGATTATTAATAGCAACTAACATTTATTTGACACTTACTATGTGCTTTTTACAATACTAAGTGCTTTACATTTATCATCTCACTTAATTCTCATGACAATCCTATTAGGTAGGTACTATTATTACCCTCTTTCAGATGAAAAAAATGAAGCTAAGAGAGGACAAGTAATTTTACCAAAAACATGCAACTAGTAATTAGCAGGGACAGGATTTGAACCCTGTTTTGTCTGATTCCAAGGCCCACTCTTAACTACTATACCATTCTACCTCTAAATTTACCTGTCACAAAAATGGTGAGGACAGCCAAACACAGTGATATGCTGTGAGTCCCAAGCCTCTTCATATCCATTTCTAAAGTTATGTAGGGAAGCAGATTCCACAATTTCCCTCAGTTACGTACTCAGCTTTAACAAACTTGGTTTGGGCCGACCCGGTGGCGCACTGCGCTAGTGCGCCGCTTGGGAAGCGCAGAGGCGCTCCCGCCGAGGGTTCGGATCCCACATACAGACCGGTTCCCGCTCACTGGCTGAGCGAGGCGCGGGGGCAACACCGAGGGTTGCGATCCCGTTGCCGGTCCCGGTCCGGTACGGGGGCGACACTGAGGGTTGCGATCCGTTGCCGGACACAGAAAAAGACAAAAAAATAAAATAAAATAAAATAAAAAAAAAATAAAATAAATAAATAAATAAATAAAAATAAAAATAAAAACTTGGTTTTAAAGTTCTTCCTTCTAACCAAAAACTCCTGGCCTCTGTCCTCTCAGTCCATATCCTCTTATGAATCTAGTAGAAGAGAGTAGGGCAGATGAACACACACTACAACACAGCCCTTTGTGCACTTAAAACTTCACTTCCACTCTTTCCTCCAGCCTGCTGTCTGCTCTCCTTTATATCGGCCTTCAGTATAATAATAGCAACTACCATTCACTGGCACCAATTCTGTGCCAGCCACCACATACATCCGTTGGCCCCTCCTCCATAATCCAGGATCCCAATTCACAGACAACACTTTGAAGGATTTAGGAGAGACCCCTTTGTCCACAATGAAGAAGCAGGAAATCTGGGATTTCAGATAAATAATGACTGTGTTCTAGTAATATTTTTTTCATTTTGGGTCTTAGTTTCTATTATCTATGCCTATTTTGTGCCTCTTGGGAAGATGAAAAGACCAAGACTTCTCAATTACAATGGCTAAGGTCTTTGTACCCTTGCTCAGCTATATCCAGGCACTTTCACTGACAGATAGCCATCTCTTTCCTGTTCCTTAAAATGTAGTTAGAAAACTTGTTGAATTCTATCCATTTACATCCTGTATTCATCATGAGTGCCTACTGTGTGCACAGGCATTGTAGGAGACAAGAGATGAGATCCAATTCTTGCACTCAAAAAGCTTCTAGTCTCTTGGATCAGCTTCTTTCTTAGGATGAGCTTTTACAGACATGTTATTCAAACTCAGGTCCAATGTGCAATGATCAATCCATTATCCCGTGCCAATCACACCAAGTGGAGACACTTGCCCCAACAACAGGCCCAACACAAAATGGCAGCAGACTGTCACCACCTACTTGATTGGGGACAGGGAAGGAAGTATACAGAGACTAGATTCTGTCCTGTTGCACTGACCCAAGCAATCAGACTCCTGCAGCAGATCTACTCCCAATAAAACTTTCATGCCATACAGCAGGGGTGACCCAATCCAACAGCAGCAGAGATAGGTTTTAGGTTACACTTCTTCCTCACCCAGATGACCTCACTATTTCTTCTCACTCCTGACCACATACCACACTCCTCCACCTTCACCACCACACTCCTCCCGGGCTGGCCAGATAAAGACTTGCAATAATACAACCCAGAAAGAAGGAAACTCCCCAAAAGGAGAGCTACCACTTTGCTAATCAAGTGGTCCGTTCTAACGGGGAACTCCACCTCTGCACCTCCCCACCTCCCCCTCCTTCTCTCAAACGATTGGCGTAAGCAATGGCTCCATTTTCTGTTCCGGGAATCCTGGTACTTCCTAAAGAAAGCAAGCGGATTGGAAGACACAAACTCAGGGCCAGTGACAAGTTGCTCCCTCCTCCTGTGAGACCGCCCCCGCTAGGCCTGGGAGAGGAAGGCCCCACCTCTCTTCTGCAAGCAAGAACAGATCCCCCTCCCCCTTCTCCTACCTCCTCTCCACCCTCTCCCCACCTGCTGCCCTCTTCCCAATCTGCAATTCCCAAGACCCGAAAGCGCAACCTCCACCAGAAGAGTGGCCCCGGGGTGCCCCATCATCCTGCCCTGTTGGCTAACCCCCAACCCCCCTACTCACCCCTGCCCCATGATGGGGGGAGGGGTGTAGCCACAGCAAAGCTTCTCTCAGGTCTCCTATTGCTAAGGCGGGGGAGGCAGAGGGAGTAGGACAGCAGCATTCCCTAGCCCCTTCAACAGAAAAAAGGACACAAACAGCCATCACCGCCCCCGCATCACCTCTGTCGGACGGTTTTCTCCCCCTCAACCCCGACCCCTCGAAAGCCCACCTCCTGCAGACAAGGAGAACCTAACCACAGCTCAGGTCGCCCCCTTGTGCGAGGCGGAGGACAAATCCGTGTGCGCCCCCCACCCCCACCCCAGCTCCGCGTCCTTCAAATGCGGGGGCAGGCACGGGGCTGGCCCGACGTCCCTTTTCCGAGCTCTCGGGTGGGAAAGACCACACCGCCCCATGCCAGGCAGTGCCAGGAGAGGCCGGGGGGCTCTATGTCCTCAGCGCCCACCCCGACCGAGCCTCTTCTTTAGGGGACCCGCCTTCCCTCCCCAGCCCCTCACCTGTTCCTGCTCCCAGCTCCGCCGCTGCGGCCGCCGCCCCCGCCCCCGCAGGTTGCGCTCGGCTAGCGCTCCGCGTGGGAAGTGGAGAGAAGGGGACGAGATGCTTGACAAGGGAGATCGCCCCGAAGGAAAACCACCCACTGTTTCCATTTCGGGGGCCTCTGCAGACCCCGTTTTTCTTTTTCCGGAGCGCTTCGCAGAACACGAACAAATGCGGGGGCAGGCACGGGGCTGGCCCGACGTCCCTTTTCCGAGCTCTCGGGTGGGAAAGACCACACCGCCCCATGCCAGGCAGTGCCAGGAGAGGCCGGGGGGCTCTATGTCCTCAGCGCCCACCCCGACCGAGCCTCTTCTTTAGGGGACCCGCCTTCCCTCCCCAGCCCCTCACCTGTTCCTGCTCCCAGCTCCGCCGCTGCGGCCGCCGCCCCCGCCCCCGCAGGTTGCGCTCGGCTAGCGCTCCGCTCCCTCCGGCTCCCAAGCCGACCTCGGCGCGGCTGCTCTCCTGGCCCGCTCCCCGGCTCCCTCCTTCCTTCCCTCCACCTAGCACCGGAAGCCGCGACGGCGACGGGAGCTGTGCGGCGCACCCCCACCCCCAGCCCAGGATACTTCCCACCTCCCCGATCGCGCGAGAGCTGTGCGGCAGCGACGGGCAGTTCTCGCGAGGCCCATCACCATGGCAGCGGCTGCAGCAGAGGCAGCCGGGCGCTGGAGCTGGAGTCAGGGCGGGGGCCGATGTGGGGGCAGGAGGCTGAGGGCGGCGGGAGCGAGAGCTGGGGAATGGGGATCAGGCAGTGGGGCCTGAGATGAGAATCCTAGGCTCCAAGGTTGTACCTGGAGTTTAAGGACTGAGGCCGCTTGCTGGTTGCACCGAGGACTGGGGTTGGGCTGAGGGGCCGGGGAGCTCCTTGGGCAAAGCCAGGAGCGGGATATGGGAGAGCAGTCGCTGCTGTGATCCGCCTTACCCTACCAGACTTCACCTTTATTTTTTAACCTGGGCTAACTGCATTCCCCTGAGAGATCCTTACTGCACCATTGTTGCTGCTCACTGTTCCTAAGACTAGGTTACTCAGGGGTCTGAATCAAGAGATCCTTTTCCACAAGGAAGAGAAAAGGAGAGTGATGACTTAGAAACTAAAGGAAACTAAACTCTGGACCCGTTAGGAAGTTGGAACTTGAAAGACAAATGGTTGAAGCTTAATATTGAAAGGTGTGGTTTGAGGAAGTGAAAATATTGAGAGGTGTGATTTGAGGAGGTGTGCCTAGATGTGTGGATTTTAACATCTCAAGGAAAAGTGAAAGACTTTGCACCCATGTTTCTTGCTTCCTACCCATCACACACTTCTCTCACACTCATTTTTGCGCCTGATCTAGACATGCAAAGCTGCTTTGAAACAATCATAGCTGTAATAGAAGCACTAGTAATTGTAAGAACAGAAGAAGGTTCTGTAAGTGCCCTGCCTCCTCATTTACAGTAGTATAAGGGAACACATAGCTGTTCCCTAAGGCTTGAGCCAAAATTGTTGCTCTTCTGAATTTTTTGGCTTGTTTCTTGTCTCCTTCCAAGATGGAGGTTGGTAGATAGCCACACTATGTCTATCTCCTTGTCCTCATCAATCCAGGGTGTATGCACTCACCAGTTCCTTTCTCTTATCCGGGTCTGTTTTCCTTCCTTCCTTTATTTTAACCTGAACAATAACATGACCCTAGAACATGAAGCCAAGAGGACCCTAATTTTAAATGGTGAGAGATGAGATGGAAAGTAAGGAACCTGTTTATAACAAAGAGAATTATATCTGTCTTTGGTCATCGCTACTAAGGGCCTTTGACCTGCTAAGCTCTGTGTTTTTAAAGGCAAAATACTCCTCCAGTATTATTACGAGACTCCTAGAATGGGCCCTGTGATACCTCCACATGATTACTTTACTCTTTCCATTTATTTTTCTAGAAATTTCTGGTTACGCCCCAACAGGTTATAACCCCACAATGACCACGAAAATTGTGCTTTACAACCCTCCTTCCCTAGTGCCCCAACCACATCATCACGCCTCATGGGGCTCTGACAAGAAGGTGGAACCTATTGATGTTTCTGCCCAAGACTTAAGATCCTCTCAAGGTTGTATCCCAAGTGTGACAGGAGGATAGAAATGATGACAACTTAATATGGTTAGCAGCAAGTACCATGGTATTTGACTTAGGACTGATGAATGGGATGGAGAATCTCCCAGCCTTTCTGTCCTTCACCCCTCTGGAGTCTGGAGAAGACAGTGCCTGTTGCAGCTTCAGAGGTGGCTGCCCATGGAGCAAAGGACAGCAGAGATAGGAGGAGTGCTCCCCAGATGGCAGTTAGCTGGCCACTCCTGACCTCCAACTTCCCAGCCACTTGGTAAAGGTTAGGGGAAGAAGAGCCCTGACTTACAGTTCATCTGTCTTTTTCCCTCCCTCTGGCTTCCAGGAGCCTAGTAAAAGCTGAAATTGTAGTGAACAGCCCTGTGGGTTGCATACGCCCACCCCCGTCACTGACCCCAGGCCTGGGCCTGAGCCCAGTGCATGTGCCTGGAGCAGGGGTGGGAGGGGGGATGTCGGCCTTGCTGACAAAACCAATTTGGAATTTGTCAAGGTTGTGGTTTGGGGCTTAGGTTTGCCACAGAGTGTGTCTGATGAAAGAAGAAGGAAAGCTAGAAAAGAAAGAGGGAGCCAAAGGCAGTACAGAGCAAGAAAACATGAAAAAGCTGAAATATTCTTGCTGCAACTCCATTGGAGATTCTCCTTCCTCTTCCTGAGTGTCAGAATGTCCCATTCTGGATATTCTTTATCATTATTCTCCCTCATATCCTATGCCCCTTCTAGCTGCATCACCTCTCCCTTGCTCCCAGCTCCATACACATACTATGTTCAGTAAGTATCTGAAGTAAAGCTGGGATATCTCCTGCCTGCATCAAATGTCCAAAACCAGAATTCTCTAGTAGAAATTTGGGACACAAAATTTTACACAAAGCACTTCAAAATTTCCTTGCCACTCTGGTGCTATGCTCATTTTACCCAATTTTGAGGGTAATTGGGTAGCAGATATATCTATTAACCAGAGAAGTGGAGCGAACTATGTCTACATTCCCTGGCCAAGGAGATGACCTGTTAGAGTCAGCATCTTACAGCCTCATAATTACGTAGTCATTTGTAAAGATCTAAATGTTTGATGCATATCCTTTTCTACATTGAATCTTGGAAAGGTAACAGTTTATTTTCAGTGATATTGGGCTAGGAATAGAAAGATTGGGATGAAAGAAATTCCTTCTCTCTAGTTATGGTTATCTCTTAGAAGACAAAGGAATTATTTTACTAAGATTAAATGCAAAAGAGTTCTGAACAAGGAAGGACATAATACATATGCAAATAATTCAGTGGAAGAGCATGCTTGTTTTGCTAATTTCCAGAGCAAAAGAAACTCAGGGCCAGCCTGTGGTTCACTTTGGAGAGTGTGGTGCTGATAACACCAAAGCCAGGGGTTCAGATCCCTACATAGGGATGGCCGGTTAGCTCGCTTTGGAGAGTGTGGTGCCGTCAACACCAAGTCAAGGGTTAAGATCCCCTTACTGGTCATCTTTTTTTAAAAGAAAGAAACTCCCATTTTGAGCATAGGAATCTCTTTTAAATGTTTCTCATCAGTCTTGTATCTACTTCCCAAGTTCTCTGGATTGGAGCCAGAGAGAAAATTACCTGCTCTTTGAGGTCCAAGTTCACTACTGAGATACATGTAGGACTAGAAAACCCCAGAATAAAGGTGACCTCACAGCCTAGGACAGGGATCAACAAGCTACAGAGGACCAAATATGGTCCTGCAGTCCATTTTTGTGAACTAAGTTTTATTGGACACAGCCATGCCCGTTCATTTATGTGTGGTCTATGGCTGCTTTTGATCTACAGTAGCAGAGTTGAGTAAATATGGCAGAGTTGAGTAGATTAGGACAAAGACCATATGTCTAAGACATTTACAAAAAAAAAAAAAATTGCCAACCCTTGTTCTGGGGCGGTGGTCAAGGTGAAATCTGAAATTGAGGCACGTAGAGAGTAAATAGGGCCTACATGTGGATCTCTAGCCCCTCCCACCTAGAAGTCCCCCAGCTTTTACAAAGTACAAGTTGCCACCTAAGTCACTGAGGACCATTTCAAATCCTTTGTGGAACTCAGCAGTAAAGTCTTTGAGTACAGGAGGGTAGGAGAATTCACCTGGAAGAGAAGCTATGGACTGGGATTCCAAGTGTGGGTAGATACATCACCATCTGCATTCACCAGTCCAGTAACTTAATTTATTTTAGTTTCAAACAGGAACCGAGAACAAGTCTCAGTACAATAAATTATCCACTCCCACCCCTCCTGCTGAAGAAGGAAAAAGAGGCTCGGAGAGTTTTAGGTAAAACCCTTCCTTTAGAGGGTCCCCTTTCACATCTGAATGGAAGGAGACAAGTTTCCTAAGCACCTGAACAGACAACTCTCTGAGGACTCAAAGGATAGTGCCCCCCCAACTCTATCCCTTCCCCAAGAAAAACCTCTCTACCACTGTCTCCTTTTACCCCACAAGAGGGGGCCCAGGCTGCCGCAGAGGAGTTTAGAAACAGCAGATAGGAGTGGGTGGTCTCTTTCTAGGATACAGGTCGGTAGCTCCACACAACACCTGGGGTCGTCCCTCAAGAGAGAGGAGTGGTCAAACTACAGGGACTCCCCGGCCAAAAGGAGAATGGATCAGGGTTAAAGGGCCCTTGGGGGTTAGACGAGGGGAATGGTACAGTGCATTTAATCTTAGTCTATTCAGGTGTTTAAGGAGCAGAAGAGAGGTGACAGCTTCCCTTCAAGGCCCTCCAACTATGGGGGAGAAAGCTATGCATCACAGATTCCACCTGACCCCCACCACCCCCAAAGCTGTTTCCAGGTAGATATTTTGAGCTTCCAGAGGCTAAGATTGACCCTGGACAGAAATCAGAGCAAAGGGCGGAAGAGGTCCCCATCTCACACAGTCCCCTTCTCTAGCCCCAAAGTGACGCTGACCCTCACTTACACACATTGACCCACTCTGTGACCTTGCACTCATCACACAGCACATAGCAGCACCAGTGGAAGCGGCAATGGCAGCGCTCTACTCGTGTCTGCCGGAGAACATTGTGGCCACGGCCACAGCACAGGCTGCCACAGCCATCCAACAGGCGGCTAGTCTTGTTGCAGGCCCGGCCCCTTGTTCCTGGGGAGCCCACTGTGGGGTCTCGCTCACAGAAGTCAGGAGACTTCTCAAAGTAGACCAGCTCTCCTGTGAGGCGACGGGGACGCAGGCGGGGTTGGAAGGCTCCAGAATTGCGGTTATGGGTATCGATGAAGATGGCCCGGCCCAGCCGCTCTCTCAAAGCTGTCCCCACTGCCCGGAACTCTGGGGCTGCCCTCCAGCATGTCTTGAACTGGCAGCTGCCTGATGTGCCATGGCACTTGCATTTCCGCTTCAGGTTTTCCGTTACCACCTAGAACATCAGAGGGGGAAGAAGTGAAGGGGAGGGCAGGACATGGACAGAGCAATGAGGCACAGGAGAGGAAAGGGAACAGAGAACACAGGAAGGGACAAATAGAGGCAAGAATAACCATGGAATATCAAAAGAGAAAGGGCATTGCAAAGCTAGCTAATAGCCCAACTCTCTCATTTTATAGTTGGAGAACTGAAGACAGAGCAGTATGATCTGCCCATCTTCAACCACTAGCTGGTAACAGAACCAGGACTCAGCTCCACTTGTTCTGACTCCTAGTCCAGTGCTCTTTCCAGAGTAAGCATGGATAAAATGGTGAGTCTAGCCCAGAGCACCCTAAATTCTTTAGTGAAGACAGTTATAATAATAGCTACTATGTAATGAGTCAAGGACTAGGCATTTTGCCGGGTGCACTGTTCGCTAACTCAGTCCTAATGACTGTGTAAGATAGGTTCTTCCTATAGATGCAAAACCAAGGTTGGGTTACTTACTGATGGTGTGTGGCAATGACCCACCGCACCTCATCCTATTACTCTGCTATGCCTCTCAAACTCTAGCCAGGCCTCAAAAGCTAGGGAGATCCAGGACAAGATGCACACACATACCTGGCGCCCCACCCTGTTGTTGTGGATTCGCATTCGTGCCTGGATGTCCCGGGGAGCTTCCCTGGAATCCAAGAAATCTCGAGAGAACTTCTCTCCAAAGTCCATGTCATGGTTACAGCCACCCCATTCCCATGTGTCCTGGGGGCCAGGGCTGGGACCTGAGCCAGGGCCAGAGCTGGTCAGGGAGTGGGGAAAACTCTTGCCCCGGGACAATGCCTGCAGCTGCAGCAGTTTGGCCCTCAGCCGGTCCTGCTCTCCACTGCCCTTCCAGCCACAGCCGCAGCTCACCAGCTTGCCCAGGCTGCAGGCTGTGGCTACCGCGTGCATGACCCCAGCAGCCAGCATGGAGAAGGAAAAAGCACTCTCACGGAAACCTGGGGATGAGAAGGGTGTGATGGTGGAGGTAAGGTTGACAGGCAGCTGAGAGTGGGGAGGCAGAAGGAAATAAACAGACACCCTTCAATTCCAGAAATTCCTAACTGAATCCTGACCCTGACATTTGCCAGCTGAGTGATTTGGGAGAAAGTCACAGGGCAAGGAAGTGAATAGAAGCACACAGCCTCACTTCCCTCATCTATAAAGGGAGATGAGGGGTCAAGATGATCTCTGAGGCCCATTCTCCCTCGGTAAGTCTGTGATTTTCAGGTGTGGATGAAAGAGCTAGCCCAGAGGGAGAGACCACTGGGGTTGGGAACTGACTAAGAGGGAGTTCCTGAGATCTTGAAGCTGTGTTCACTGAGTTCTCCACCTGAAAGCCTTAGAAATTCCCAAGCCCTGCAGGGGGCTTGGGTGGGGTGGGAACAGAAGTCTTTGGGGTTCTTTTTTTTTTTTCCTTTGGGGTTATTTCATCAGCCTTTTAACCAACCTACCTTCTACCACCCAAATACCCCCAAAGCAATGGAGCTGTGGAGCTGCCCTTCCCTCCCCAGCTTCTAGTTTTATATGTGCCTGTCAAGACTACTCTTTGTTTATCCTAACCTGCTACTGCCCTGTAAAAACACTGGGAGGAGGAGAGAAGTGGGGTGATTTAAGGCCCTCTTAAAAGGTTGGCTTTTTCGTTATGTTTTGGGGGTCACAGAGCCTCAGGATGATAAGCCTTTCCCAGGCTTAGACAGACATGTGCTCACCACTTGGGCTTCAAAGCCTTCCCCAGGCCCTAGGAGAAGGAGGGGACCCTCACTTCATTTTAGGCAGGGGCTCTCTGGAGCCCTGAGAAGATGAGAGGCCAGGCCTCTCCTACTCCAGGATCCAGGGCTCTTAGGCCAGCCTCCTGACCCCCCCAACCCCAACCCTCCAGGGGTGAAGCTGTTTGCACAAGTCTTGGGAATTCCCCTCAGATGGCAGCTGCCTATTAACCCAATAGTCCCCAAATCACTGCCCCCACCCCTAGGGTGCGTCCCCATGATCTTTACTCTTCAGGGAGAGAACTCCAGCAGGGCATAGGGAGAAGCAGCCATGCCTCCCAGACCATGCATCCTAGACCAGGCCAGCAGTGACCTGTTTCTCAGCCCCTCCAGCCTTTCCTCACCTGCTCAGGTGAGCCACACCTGGAGCCCCCACAACACAGAGGAAGGGGCTGCTCCCCGGCTTCAAAGCCATCAGGGTCTTTGTTCCCAGCTTTGGCTCCTGGGAACCCCAGCAATTAGGGGAGCAGGTTTAACCCTTAAACGGTTGGGGGCGTCACCCCACCCCCGCTGAGACTCCGGGGACACCAGCCTGGGCTTGTTCCAGGGAGAGGGAAGGGAGAGAAAAATGGGGAGGGAATGGGGGGGCGTTTGAAACTTCCAGGGCTAGGGGCATCTCTTGTTCACAGGTGCAATCCAGATCAAGCTGGGCGGAGGAAAGGGGGGCCTCGGGTAGGGGAGCAGGGAACCAGCTGCTTTGCCGGCAGCGCGCAGGTGGAAGTCAGGCGCGCGGGGGCCCAGACGGGTGGCCAGACCCGGCTCAGCGCGGCTCCTGGGGGGAATTCCCCGAGAGGCCCCTCCCGGAGCCGTGAACCCTTCCCTTCCCGCCTCCGCGCGCCTCGGCCTGTCCCCCACCCCCTAGCCTAGGCGGCGGCGCAAACCCGCCCCACCAGGCTCACCGCGCTTGAGGATGGCGCTGTGGTGCGGCAGGCGGCCGCCCCCCCCCCGCGCCGAGCAGGTCCCGCGCCGGTGCCGCAGCCGGTGCCGGGCACCGGGGGCCA